CAGGGCAATCATCTTTTATTTTATTGATTTGCAAACATTCTCGATCTATTAAGATCATCACACGTTTTTCTATAATCTATGCTGCAAATAGATGTCCCAGCTCATAGTAAGCCCTTTTTCTACTTTATGGTGGTAATCTTCCAAATGGCAACTTTAAATGTTTAGTTTGTGAAATGTATCAATCAGCGTTTAAATTTGTCTTTGACTAGAACATTAAAATCAACACATGTGTATTATCCCAGCATGCTCACAAGTTTTTAAATCGTTAATGCATTCTGAATTTAATTTTCAAACAGCAATGTATTGACTAAAATCATTTATCTCACCTTATTAACACGTTAGGTTACTACGTGTACTTAAGTCTATTTGTGCATTTTAGACTCGTGCTTTGATTTACTTGGGTCTGAGCCAGGGCCGCTGGCTTGAATCATCAGAGGTTTACAGTGTGTTTTTATATCCAGTCACTGGAAGCTACTTCTTGCTAACGGCAAAGCCTACGTTTTTCCCATAGAGCCTATCTGAGGATTTGGGGAGAAGGCTGTTACCATGATGCAGTTATGAAGAAAAAGTCTTATAGAAACGTAACACTACTTCCTAATTTTCACCAGAGCTGGTCCTGCCCAGGAAAGTGAAATGAACAGAAGATTGACTGAACCGCAGATACCAAATTGAGACTATCTTTACGGAGCTGCAAAAGACTCATTCCATCTTGATAACGTTCGTGGGAATTCATGGAGGACTAATACTGTGTGCTGAGAACTGTGCTACATAGTAGAGACATGCAGATGAACAAGACGCAACATGTGAAGCCAGGTGTGGTGACTGATGCCTGTAATCCCAGCACTTTGGGAGGCCGAGGCGGGCAGATCACTTGAGGTCAGGAGTTTGAGACCAGCCTGGCCAACATGGTGAAACCCCGTCTCTGCTAAAAATACAAAAATTATCTGGGCATGATGGCTCATGCCTGTAGTCCCAGCTACTCAGGAGGCTTGAGGCAGGAGACTCGCTTGAACCCAGGAGGGGGAGGTTGCAATGAGCCGAGATGACACCACTGACACTACCGCACTCCAGCCTGGGCCACTAGAGTGAGATTCCGTCAAAAAGAAAACAGAGAGAGAGAGAGAGAGAAAAATCACAATGTGTGATTTCAACAAGGTCACAGATGAGTGACATGTATATGAAACCAGACACATATGTATCTGTATATTTTGGTGCCTCTCCAGGCAGCAGAAAGAAGTATACTTTATTTTGACGTGGACAGTATTTCTTTACAGGAATAGCCCTTGCCAAGCAATACCCATCCTTGGCCTGATCTTGTCATGTTGTTGACATATGTTCTGGGTCCCACGTCTGTGTCCATTGCTTCCAACCTCACCTCAGTGGCCACTGCTCTCTCCAGTAACTCCCAGCTCGGACGACTGTCCCTGGGCTCAGGACATGCCTTGACTTCTGATGAGGGAAACATGATTCAAGCAGACCATCCTTCTTTCCCATGGGGTTGCTATCAAATCAGATTCCCTAGGGCCTTCCCCAGGAACCAGTGCTGCCCCTTTCCTGAAGGCTGCATCTCTGAACAGCGCTGATCTATCCTGAGGCCAAACGTCACCACGGCAGACCTTACCATGCCAAGATCCAGGTCCTGCAGCTGAGGCCCTCCAGGTCATCCCGTGTATAATAGTGTGATCTCCAGGATTTCTTTTCTTTGATTCTCATACGTACATCATTGGTTGACTGAACCAACCTTCTGGAATTCTGTCCCAAGTCACTTTCTTGTTGATGGATCAATGCAGGATTCTCTGACCCAATATTGTTGTTAGTGAGTGGTGGATCCAGGAAATCTTATTTGAAAGGTCCGACTTAGGCCAGGCACAGTGGCTTACACCTGTAACCCCAGCACTTTGGGAGACTGAGGCAAATGGATCACCTGAAATCAGGAGTTCGAGACCAGCCTGGCCAACACAGTGAAACCCTGTCTCTACAAAAACATAAAAATTAGCTGGCATGGTGGTGTGCACCTGTAGTTTCAGCTACTCAAGAGGCTGAGGCAGGAGAATCACTTGAACCTGGGAAGTAGAGGTTGCAGTAAGACGAGATCATGCCACTGCACTCCAGCCTGGGTGACATAGCAACAGAGTGAGACTCTATCTCAAAAAAAAAAAGAAAGAAAAAGAAAAAAAAAAAGGCCTGATTCAACTGGAAATGCTCCTACACTTCTTTACAATTTTCCCTTTCTCCTGCCTGGAACATACAGATATGTTGCTGGAATGGTAGCAGCTATTTTGTGTTAATGAGGCAAAAGGAATGAGTACAAAAGCATATACATACTAAGAACAGTAGAGAAGAAGAGTAAGAGCTTGGACTGCTAATGTCATTGACAGGGTCATTATGAGTCTCCACCCCAGACTTCTGAGTGGAGAATATAAATCCACATTTATTTAAGCTATTGTGAATATAATTTACATTACTATTATCCATACAGCCAAACCCATCCCTGATCTGATGGTCCTTCTGGGTTTCAGTAACATGGCTGGTTTCTCAATGTATCTGCCCATCTCCCAGTGCAGGCTAGAGTCCTACTTTTTTTTTAATTAAAGTAAAATTCCCATAATATAAAATATAACCAATATCCATTTTAAAGTGTGTAATTCCTTGTCATATAACACATTCACAAAAGTGTGCAACCATCATATCTGTCTAGATATCTACAGATATCTCTCAGATATCTGTACCACCCCAAATGGAAACCCTGATCCCATTGCAGTCACTTCCCATATCCCCAGCCCCAGCCCCTGAAAACCACGAGTCTATTTTGGGGCTCTATAGACTTGCCTATTCTGAACATTTCACATAAATAGAATCATATAATGGCGGCCTTCTGTGTCTAACTTCTTTCACTTAGCACAACGTTTCAAGGTTTATCCACATTGTAGAACGTGTCAGTACTGCGTCGTTTTTAATGACTGAATAATATTCCATCGCATGGATATTCCACGTTGTAGTTCCCCGTTCGTCTGCTGATGGATGCAGGGGTTGTTTCTACCTTTTGGCTATTGTGAGTAGCGCTGCTATAAACGTTTGCGTACATATTTTTATTTGTTGTCAGTTATGTGGGGTATATATTTAGGAGCGGAATTGTTGGGTCATGTGTAATTCTCTGCCTAGGTTGTTGACAATCTGTAGCCTAACTCTTAGCAGCTCATTTCCTTATCATCTCAGAGCGTGTCCCCTGAATGCCAGTTCACCAACAAGGGCTCTGCTCCCCAAGGACCAGCCTGCCCAAGGGCTGTGTGTGCTGTTCGGCTAGATACATCTACCGTTCACTGTGCTCCTTCCACAGTGGTCCACCCAGAACTTCAGCTTTAAGCCCAGGGCTGGCCAGAGGCCACTCTCTTGAGCAGTGGTCCCTGTTCCTTTGGGCCCCAGTGTCCTATCCCAGGCTATCTATCCCGCTCCCTAGGGTATTGGAGAAAGAAGACCTCAGACAGGAGAAAATCCAGATGAATGGCTGCCCCAAGCCCTCATGGTTAAGTGGACTCTGGTGGAGATTTGGGATTTTTTTTTTTCCTTTTGCTAAATATGATTGCCTTTATTTCCTTTTCTTTGCCCAGCCCTATCTAAACATAAAATAAAACTACAGGACTGCAATTAACAATCCATTAAAATCAGCCATAAGTTATGAAAATCATAAAGCTTTTTTTTTAAGTAATTAAGGGTAGTTAAATTATTTAAAGTATACAGAGTCCAAACAGCCAGGGGTAAGGTCTCCAAGAAGCCTTCCCAGGGTAAGGGAGAGGGCCGCAGGGGAACCTTGGAGTCTGAAAGACAAAGGGAACACATGATGAGGGTCGGGAAGGGCAGATCCTGGGTGAAGCCAAAATGATGAACCAGGTAGAATACCCAGCCAAAGTACCAGACACACCCTACCCAGAAGAGAGAAACGAGGAGGAGGCAGAAGGGGAGACCGTGGGAGATGCCAGAGCTACGTGTCAGAAACTGGACAGATTCCTCCAAGGTGCTGCAGCTTTTTAGATTTCTGAGACTCCTAGAGTGGCGCGCCCTGCTAGAGGCACCAAAGCAGTCAGACGGCATGCCTTTGCCGTGCCCAGGAAAGAGTGCGTCTGAACCTGAAACCGTCCTTCAATCCTCCACCTGACTTACTCCTTACTAGATTGTGTCAGTGACTCTAAGGAACTCCAAATCTCAGTCCATCTTTTCAACGAAAGGCACCCATAAACGCAGTAATATGTTCCTGCTGTGAGCAGATACGCCAGTGCATTTGTTATATTATAGATACAAGACTTCCAGGCATAGATCTTTGCTTTCTGCAATCCATAAGTGCTCAGAGAGAGCACCAAATCTAGAAAAGTTACACACATTGACGTATTATCTCAAAGTGATGGAAAATGAAAAATCCTGTTTCATCTTCTCACTGTTTCCAAGGAGACTCACAGTTTCCATAGCCCAGGATTTTATTACTCTTTAAGAGAAACAGACACACAACTCCCCCTCCCCTGTAAAGGAATACAGCTCATCCCTTATACAGAAGGGGATTTGAGGGATATGTGCTCCACTTCCTGGAATAGGAGCATCACAGAGTGGGAAGCGCTCGGGTAGGCCGCCTGGTCCAATCAACCCGCTTTACAAATTGGGAAGCTGGCCACCTGCAAAGTTAGGTGACTGTCAAGGTCAGGCAGGGATGACAGCTTGGTCTTATCACACTGCGATGTCTCCCTTCTTGCAGTTTCCAAAGACAGAAATTGATCATTGCACACCAGACAACCGCAGGATCCCACTTTTGCCTTTGTTTGCAAGACAGCTGCCAAAACCGTTTGACAGTTCCATAGAGAGAGCTCATGCCTCCCCACGGGAGCTCTGATTGTCTTCCTCACCGTATAATGACCCATCTCATTCAGGGATGTCCAGCTGTGGCTGCTGGTGAGAATGCGGGAGACCAGCCACTCTGATTCTGAGGCTTAAAGCCCATGGGTTGAAGCTGTAACAAAATTAATACAAATATCTACTATTTGGAGAGTGCCGGTCTTGTGCATGGCAAGTTACAGAAAGTACCTCTGTAAATCTTCACAATGACCCTAGCAGTAGATAGGACCATCAGTCTCGTTCGCAGTCTGAAGAAACTGTGGCACAGAGGCGGACACGCTTGCCCAAGGCTACCTTATTAATAAACAGCAGAGTCCTCTGGTCCCCAGAACCCATGTTCTCAGACACTGCAGAACCTGGCTCCTATCCTGGGGCAGATACAGAGGGGAGTGGGTGTTTAAAAGAGGTTAAGGTTGTGCCGGATGCGGTGGTTCATGCCTGCAATCCCAGCACTTTGGGAGGCCAAGGCTGCGGGATCACTTGAGGTCAGGAGTTTGAGACAAGCCTGGCCAACATGATGAAACCCCATCTCTACTAAAAACACAGAAGTTCCCTGGGCGTGGTGGCTCACGCCTGCAATCTCAGCACTTTGGGAGGCCAAGGCTACGGGATCACTTGAGGTCAGGAGTTTGAGACAAGCCTGGCCAACATGATGAAACCCCGTCTCTACTAAAAACACAAAAGTTCCCTGGGTGTGGTGGCACATGCCTGTAATCCCAGCTACTCTGGAGGCTGAGGCAGGAGAATCACCCAGAGATGAAGGTTGCAGTGAGCTGAGATCACACCACTGCACTCCAGCCTGGGCAACAGAGAAAGATTCCATCTCAAAAAAAAAAAAAAAAAAAAAGGAAGGTTGGCAGTGAATGGCTGAACCACGTGTTGAATGAGAGCTACACTTAACTCTAAATTCAAGACAGAAACACACTTAAGATGAAGTTAGAGACACGTGTACAGGTCTCCAGGCCCCTGTCCCTTCCCCTTTGTGATTTCAAAGTGCACAACTGAGTAGAAGAGTTGGAGGTTTATTTAAATTTAAATAGCCTCATGTGGTTTGTGGACATCCTACATTTCCTTGCCAACCTTAGATAGTATTGCAGTCCACTCCAAAGCCTTTCAAACCACTTCCTGTAACAGGGAGTCTCATCTTAGGAAAACCCAGATGCAAATCCAACCAGATATGAAGACAAAACAGGCTGCATGCTGCATGGATTCTGACATTATCTTCCAATTCTCTCTCTGTTGAGAGGACATGAAAACTCCCAGCTAACCAGAGACAGAAGAGTATTTTCTCTGCCCTTTCCCTTACGTTATCTTCTTCTGTGACTTCCTTTTTCTGTGTTGTTTTGTTTTGTTTTTGAGATGGAGTCTTCCTCTGTCATCCAGGCTGGAGTGTAATGGCTCGATCTCGGCTCACTGCAACCTCTGCCTCCTGGGTTCAAGCCATTCTCCTGCCTCAGCCTCCCCAGTAGCTGACACTACAGGCACGCACTACCAGGCCCAGCTAATGTTTTGTATTTTTAGTAGAGACAGCGTCTCACCATGTTGGCCAGGATGGTCTCAAACTCCTGACCTCGTGATCTGCCCACCTTGGCCTCCCAGAGTGCTGGGATTATGGCGTGAGCCACCACGCCTGGCCCTTCTGCCACTTCTTTACAAGCTGTGTCACACTGTCCTTATTCCGAGCAGGCCCAAACTGTGGGCTCCTTCCTTGTGTCAGGAATTCGTGATGCTTCGCAGAATCATCTTACCTCTTTGATGACCTCCGCGCTCAAAATAAATGCCAAGTACAGACTTCTGAGCTAAAGGATTGCTAAGAAAACTGCTTCTGCCCAAAGCAGTCTGAGAAATGCCCTCTACTCACCACCTTTTGTGCAGGAGTGCCTTTCTCTGGGGGAAGGACCCCCCCCTTGCTGTCTGCCTGTCTGCCTCTCTGTGCTATGCCTTCTTATGACACCAGGGATATTTTCTTCTGATATCCTCATTGGAAGGTCCGAAACAGATTTTCAGCACCACATAGAAAGGCAGACATGGTGATGTTTGTTAGAGTGAACCCCAGTTTCTCCTCAAAGAATCAGTATGTCAGTATGTTCAGCTCTCTTATTCTTTAATTCTCTGTTTTAAAGTTTAACTTCCCTGTAATCCCAATAAACAACCTTCTCCACCAGTTCTAATCAGTAGTTCACATCTGCTCCCCCTCTTCTGGCTCTGTCTTGATTCATTGCAGTCACCTCCTCCGGTCCCCTTCTTTAACCAAGGTCACCCCAGCTACCTGCTCTGACCCGCCCCCAATGGTCCTTCCCACGAAACCACCCACCCTGCCACTCCAGCTCGGACCCCTGCTCTCTTTAAAACAGCCAGTCAGGAGTAGTCTAGCTGGTGCGGTCTAACCCTAGCCAACAGGGGAACGACACAGCAGCAGGGGTGACCCCGGTCAGGCATAGTACCCGTTCCCTATAGGGTCCAGCCCTACAGGGTCCTGTGAACCCCTCTCTGCAGATGAAAAGACAAGAAACTATGGAAACAAAAGGCACAAGACACCGATAAAGAGAAAACAGAGTCTGGGCCCAGGTGTCTACTGCCAGCCAAAGCGCGGAGTCCAGTAGCGGCCCCAAGTGCCTGGACGCTCTGACTTTTATTGAGCACAAAGCAGGGGGCAGGGAAGGTAGGGTGAGGTAATGGTGGCCAGTGATAGGGTCAAGTAAATCACGTGTCTTGGAGACAGGGGCCCAGGACTTTCAAGAAGCCGAGGCGAAGAGAAAACCTCATGTGTCAGCACTTTTCGCATACTTGTCAAAAATATCAAGGACATTAAGATTTCTATTACTTTTACTGATTCTATCTTCTAAGAAAAAGAGGGACTAGGTGCAGAAGCAGAGCGTGAGGGTGGACATGGAGCGTGACCACTGAAGCACAGCATCACACAGAGACAGTTAAGCCCCCGGATGTCTGCAGGCCTCCCTGACAGCCGTCAGACCCACCACAAGAGCTTGGAGGAGTGGAGTTTTCTCCTAACTCCCCCTGGAAGGAGAAATCTTGGCCATCTTGGATGTCTCCTTCCCTAGCTGGCTAAACGGTGGGCGCTTTCCCAGCCTGGCACTGCTGCACAGCCAAGGCGCCCTCCAGCAGCCCTTATGTGGGCATGACAGAGGGCTTAGAGCATCTTGCCTTAGGATCACTTTGTTCACAATGTCACCTCAGTTCCATGCTTCATAACCTGATAGTCATTAGTAAAATTAAAAGGTTATATCGAGTATATATATCTTTATGATTATATATGAATAACTATGTGATTACATATGATTATATATAGGAAAACTATGTGCTTATACTTCTAATTCTTTTCTAATTCACTATTTATGTAGGAACGGGCCGAGGCTTCAGACCCTCACCTCAGCACTTGTGGGGTTCCCCCCGCACTTCCCCCCTTGTCCAAGCATGTGGCCCCCATTGCTCCATCTGTTAGCTGCACACTTCTATAGAAGTAAATTGCCTTGCTGAGAGGATTTATCATCGAGGGCTGTTTCCTTTGTGGCATGGCAATGTTACTTATAACATGTTTAATATTACTTTTACCCATCACTCCCCAGATGATCCGCTCTGGAGGTGAAAACGTCACGCCCTTATTCTGTGAACTACCACAGATGCCCATCCACACTTGCAGATGCAAAGAGTCCCTTAGCTTCTGTTGAGAATTCAAGGGAGTCAAACTGGCATAGGATGCATAGCCTTTCTCTAAATGTACCCGCAGAGACAAATATCAGGTGTTGAAATAAGAGGTTTCTGTGTGTCATATAAATTTGACAATGAATAAACAGTGATTGAGCATAGAGTCTCAAATTAATGGTTCAGGACATGGACTCTGTATATTCTGACAATAATTGGTCAGACATCCTGCCCGAGGCTCCATCAATATGATCTGTTTCATCTGCAGAACATTTAAGCATTAAGGAGGTTCGCATGGGCAATTCCATTTCCCTGTGGAAGGGAACTGCAAGCCAGTCTGCGTTGTGGGTTCCTTCCTTGTTTCAGGAATTCGTGATGATTTGCAGAATCATCTGACATCCCGACTTACCTCCAGGCTCAAAATAAACTCACCGTCCTTGCTCTTACGATCGCCCCTCCCTCCCCAATATCACTCCTCTCTCCCTTTCTGCAGATTCTTTTCCCTCAGCATGTTAACATGCTCCCATCTCACTCATCTTAAAAATGTAAAGAATGCCTCCCTTAATCTTAAGTAACTGTCACGTTCAATTAACACTAACCAATCTAGACTCGGGAAAGGAGGAGCAGAAACCAGCTTCATGGATTCTCTCATGGTTCCTTCAGCCACTCTCTGGAACCGCCCTGTCCAAGAGAATTTTCTGCAGAGTGGAAATGTACCCTTGTCCTGCAGCTAATGGCAGGCAGCTTGCACCAATGTAGCCTTTGTGTCTCACTGCACTTCCATCTTCCTGAAAATCTGGGGGGTACTGTTTCCCCATACTTCTCTGCTGTGTTCCTGATGCAGTAGTAAAAGCTCTCAGCCAGAGTCAGGTGGAATCTCCCCATCTAGAAAGTACCCTACTCCCTACGGGGGTGATCTCAGGGACCTTCAAATGCCTTAAGGCATTTCAAATACCTTAAGAGGTAGGGATGAGAGGAGCACATCCTGCAAAAGTTGAAAAAAAGCCTGCCCAAGAGCACTGTACCCCAAGATGGGTGATGGTCTTGTAAATAACCATCTTCTTGCCCAGTGCATAGATAGAGCCAATTCACTGAGACAGGAGTGTTGCAGTAGAGAAGAGGTTTAATAAATGCAGAGCTAGCCAAGGGGAGGACAAGAGCTTATTACTCGAATCAGCCTCCCCAGAAAACTGGATACTAGGGTTTTTTTAAGGATCATTTGGCAGGCAGGGTGTTAGGAAATTGGGAATGCTGATTGGTTGGGTCAGGGATGAAATCATAGGAGGTTGGAACTGTCTTCTTGTGCTGAGTCATTTCCTGGGTGGGATCACAAGACCAGTTGAGCCAGTTTCCTGGTATGGGCCACTGGTCCAGGTGGTGCCAGCTGACGCATCAGAATGGAGGGTCTGAAAATACCTCAAACACCAATAGTGCTGTTATCTAGAAGAGTGATTTGTGGAGGTTATGGATCTTGTGACCTCTGGCTCTATGACCCCAAAGCCATATTTCTAATCTTGTGGCTAATCTGTTAGCTTTACAAAGGCATTTTCAGTCCCCAAGCAATGAAAGGGTTTGGTTCAGGAAGGGGTTGTTATCATCTTTGTTTTAAAATTAACCTAAAAACTAAATTCCTCCCACAGTTAGCTGGGTGTACACTTAGGAATAAGCAAGGGCAGCTGGGGGGTTAGAGGCAAGATGGAGTCAGTTAGGTCAGATTTCTTTCACTGTTATCATTTTTGCAAAGGTAGTTTCAGGCTCAAAGCCTTGGAGCCTGTCTGGACCACCACTCACAGCTCCTGCAGCGGCAGCCCCAGCAGTTCTATTCAGAGGTATTGTTCAAGGTATGAACTGAATCCTCCCCACCCAGACTTTTAATAATTTTTCATATTTATCAAGTGCCTGCTAACCAAATGTCCCTTGCAGAATGCTTTGTAAGGGTTGCCATTCAATGCCGCATTTGGCCCTCAAGATAGATATTGTTGCAAACTCCACTACAGATGACTGTGGAATATTCCAAGGAGTTGAAGAGCTAGTAAGAGTCTGAGCCTGGCAGTCTATGCAATCTAAGCACTGTACTCAGCATTGTGGAAGAGGCTCCCTTCGCCCCCAGGAGTCAAATAATTAATCGTACAGTAAATGGTTCAATACCCGTCTTTCCCTCCTCTCCCTCATGTTCAACGGCCTTTCATTCACTGCTCAACTTTCCATGTCTACTGTCATGCTGCTTACATAGTATGTGATCAGTAAGTATTTACGGAACTAATGAATGGAGAATTTCTAAGGAAAATGGGAGAGAACCTTGGCCTTTCCTTGGACCTCCCCCCAACACAGCTAAATGGGCCAATTATCTCAGTTATTATAAGAATTTATAGCCTAGAGTCCAGTGGACACAGTTCAAAAAAGAGGAAACTCAGGACAATGAAATGTGAAGACTCCCGTCTTACAAATGTCACCTGTAACTGGATCCATCCTATATTGCTGTGTGGCCTCTTTTCAAGTCAGCTACCCTCTCTGTTCCTGAATTTCCTAATCTGTAAAATGCATGGGCTATTCTGATTATATCAAAAGACTCCCTCAGCCCTAAAAATGCTATGAATTCATAATAGTGTGATTCTAGTAAGAATCAGATCCATGGCTAGTCTGACATGGAAGCGAAATTGGTAGCAGCCTATGTGACCAACGAGGTCTCTCTACCATGTAATATGACCACCCCCTTAAAGATCTCTATCTATTCTCTTCCAGTTCCTCCACGATCTGGCCTACCTTAGCTCTGGGAGCTCAGGGTTGAAAGCTCAGGACCCAACGCTGCTCCCTTGCTAGGAATCTGTGAGTTCCCAAGGTTGTCAGAGGAGGGCCTGGACAGGCAAGTGAGTGATGGGGCCAGAGCCCTGGAGTGAACAAAGAAGGGGCCTGTCAAGGTGTAGGAGGGATGTGGCTCATGGGAGATGGAGCTTCACTCTCTCTACTCTTCCTGCTTCTTTCCTAGAAAAGTACTGCCTTTCAGAGGCTCAGAATATGTGTTTCATATAATAAAATCCATCTGATAACATGCTACTTTTCTCAAAAACTATCATCATTAAAGGCAACAGCATTGATTCAACATAGTTGAAATGGGTCAACCATCCCACTGTGTGCCCTTGGGTACATTACACCTACTGTGTGTTCTTGGGTGTATTAGTCAAGAGTGAGGCAACTGGCCCACTGTGTGCTCTTAGATGTATTAGTCAAGAGTGGGTCAACTGTCCCACTGCGTGTCCTTGGGTATATTAGACCCACTGTGTGTTCTTGGGTGTCACCTGATCCATGGCTTCCTTAAATACTCTCCCATAGTGGACTTGTCACTTGCTTCAAAAAGGCTTCCATGAACCTCTTTATAGGTCAATGTAATTCTATGGAACCAGGTAGAAGTGAGAATTCGTGCTAAGGATAAACAGAATCAACCCCAAGGATGTAGAGAATGGACATTTTTAGCCCTCTTCATACCTATCATTGAATTGCTTCTGTGCACAGAGCGTTTCCCTGGGGAATGTGGTTTTTAACTGTTGCTCTTTTTCATGGCAACTGACCTGGATTTCCGTTCTAGCTTTTTCATCCTGGACCGAGTCCCCTTTCTTCTATGTCCCTCAATTTCCAAGAAGGGGGGTGGGGGGGTTTGCAGCTGCAACGTTTGTTTCTCTGCTCTTTGACTAATACACCTGGGATCAAAAGAGTCTATGCTGTTATTTTGAGTGATTACACTTGAAAACAGGATTTATTTTCAGCCTCCCTTCTCAGGCTTCCTTTTTTCAAGGTGAAACCAGGCAGGAGACGAATCTAGACGGCTTGTCTCCCCCACACCCACACACAAATCTCATTTTCTGCCAGATTTCAAATGCAACAGTTACAGAGTGGTGCCTATTACTCGAGTCAATGTGATGTCCTCACCCAGAAGTCTGGTCACCGTTATATATAATTTATGAATCCAACCCAGAAACAAGGCAAAGGAAAAATGAACATGGACTTGAAGTGTCTGTGGTCACGAAATCGCTTTCCGGTTTGATGTCCCTACGAGTTCATGCTCATTTTCATTTCTCGATTTCTTCCCAAATTTGTTATCCCAGTGACTGACGCTGCAATTACAGTCTCCTTCCCCGGCTTGTTCCCGTGCTATCCAATAAATGTCATGGCCTTTCGCTGCGCCGTGCATTTATTTTCCAATTACTGTGGGTAAACAGGGATGGGCGAGCAATTACATTGAAGCTTTTAACTCATTTGATGTGGTCGGAAGCAAAATTTCAGAATTGAGACGTAACACATCAAGGCTATTGTCTACAGAAATGACAGGGGTTGGGAGAAACTGCCTGAATAACCCCCCTTTTCTGCAATGAGCAAAAAGGTGTCCACTGGGACATCTTCACCCCAAAGTGAATTCACGTTCCAAAACACATGCTTCCAGGTCTGTCCGAGTAACACTCTCGTCTGTTTCCATTCTGAGCCGGTGCCCATCAGCCTCTTTCAATCTCCATTAGCAGGTTGGAAATTTATTTAGAAAGCCGACAGGTACTATTTGGGGGATTAATGACCACTGATTTATGAATATTGAGTAGCATTTCAATAATCGGAGGCAGAGTAATCACTCGTGGCTGCAGCCAGCTCCTCTCACCATTACAGCCCACAGCAATCACTCAAAACCAGTTAAACGATTCTGATTTATGACCTTAACCTTCAGGGTCCACTCCATTTGCTCTCTCGGTGTGTAAATTCTAAAAATGCAATTCCCTCCATCTCCAGAGAGGCAATTTAAGTCGACATTATGCATGAGCCGAGAACGCGGGAATTCTCAGATCTCTTATTTCACTCATTAAATTTACACCGAACATCTTGCAATTAAAATTTCATATGGATTTCTTCTTATGATTGACATTTGGCCTTGATGAAACGAGTTCAAATTTGGACTCTCAGAAGACGTAGAAGGAGTGAGATGGGTCTGGGCATTGTTTGGAGAAAGATGATGATCAGGCACTAATACGTTGATTAGCATTTTGAACAGACACGTTGGTGAAGTGTTGGCTCTACCCCACAATGAAAGACACTGGGGATCCAAGCCAGGAGTGAGAAGCAAACCCAATCTGCTTTGAAAACTCTGCTCATTTGGTTTGGCAATAACAAAAGAAGGAACTCACAGACTCAGAGCAAGAAAAAGCCTTGCAGCTCTCATAGATCGAGGTACCTGTGTTTCAGCCGCAGAATCCAGCATCTAGAAGGACTTCCCCAACACAGCAGCGATGTGGGTACGCAGCAATCTCTTCGTTCCTTTCACTGCTGCCTTGCAGTTTGGCCATGTGATCAAATTCTGGCTAACTGGGGATTAAAGAAAGTAATGACTGTCATACCCAGGCTAGTTCATCAAACCTTTCCGCTCCCAGTCCCCACTCAGTTTCCCCATCCAACTACATGGACAGCCAGCAGTGAGAAATGAACATGTTGAGTGATACCACTGAAGTTGAGGGTTGCTTTAGCAATTAAACCACTCTAGCACAGCCACGAGCATGCTGTGGGTCAGGAAGCCTGCCCTTGGGCAATACATCTGAGGGCACACAGTGTGTCAGTTGGCCCACTTTTGACACCCAAGAACACACAGTGGGTCTAATATACCCAAGGACACTCAGTGGGACAGTTGACCCACTCTCAACTAATAAATCCAAGGGCACACAGTGGGTCAGTTGGCTCACTCTTGACTAATACACCCAAGAACACACAGTGGGTGTAATATACCCAAGAACACACAGTGGGTCTAATATACCCAAGGACACTCAGTGGGACAGTTGACCCACTCTCAACTAATAAATCCAAGGGCACACAGTGGGTCAGTTGGCTCACTCTTGACTAATACACCCAAGAACACACAGTGGGTGTAATATACCCAAGAACACATAGTGGGTCTAATATACCCAAGGACACGCAGTGGGTCTAATATACCCAAGGACACACAGTGGGTCTAATAATATACCCAAGGACACACAGTGGGACAGCTGACCCACTCTTGACTAATACATCCAAGGGCACACAGTGGGTCAGTTGGCTCACTCTTGACTAATACATCCAAGGGCACACAGTGGGTGTAATATACCCAAGGACACACAGTGGGTCTAATATGCCTACGGATATGCAGTGGATCTAATATACCCAAGGACACACAGTGGGATAGTTAACCCCCTCTTGACTAATACATCCAAGGGCACACAGTGGGTCTAATATACCCAAGGACACACAGTGGGACAGTTGGCTCACTCTTGACTAATACACCCAAGAACACACAGTGGGTCTAATATACCCAAGGACACACAGTGGGACAGTTGACCCACTCTTGACTAATACATCTAAGGGCACACAATAGGCTAATTGGCCCACCCTTGACTAACACATCCAAGGGCACACAGTGGGTCAGTTGGCCCACTCTTGAATAATACACCCAAGAACACACAGCGGGTGTAATATACCCAAGAAGACGCAGTGGGACTGTTAACCCACTTTTGACTAACACATCTAAGGGCACACAGTGGTCAGTTGATCCACTCTTAACTAATACACCCAAGAACACACAGTGGGTCTAATATACTCAAGGACACACGGTGGACCAGTTAACTCACCCTCGACTAATATATCCAAGGGCACACAATGAGTTAGTTGATACACTCTTGACTAATATACCCAAGAACACAGAGTGGGTCAATTTGCCCACCCTTGAATAATACATCTCAGGGCACACAGTAGGGTCAGTTGCCCCACCCTTGACTAGCAAACCCGAGGGCACACAGTGGATTAATTGGTTTACCCTTGACCAATACACCTAAGAGCATACAGGAGATCAATTGACATCCAAGGACACACAGTGGGTCAGTTGGCCCAGGCTCGCTTAGTAACCCAAGACCACACAGTGAGATCGTTGGCCCAGCCTTGACTAATAAACACAGGGGCACACAATGTGTAAGCTGGTTCACCCTTTACTAACATACCCATGGGCACACAGTGGGTCACTGACGGAGTCAGAACTGGAACCCAGGCTTCAAGATTTGAGGTCCAGTGCCTTCTACTCCTTTCAAAGTGCCTTGGTTTGGGGGGTATTTTTGGAGAAATCAAAGTAAGAAAATGTACACATCTAACTAGGTGTCAAGACTAGTTTCCAAGTGGGGTTTATAAAAGTAACTCCCCTCTCCCGTGTATCTATTTAAATGGGTGAGGAGGCACTGGCACCATTGCTTTGTTGTGCTGGGTTTTTGTTTGTTTTATTTGGACCAGGGGACATTTTGACATAAGGAGGACAAAGAAGCTTAATGGTGGGTAGCAGGGCGTGGTGGCTCATGCCTATAATCCCAGCACTTTGGGAGGCCAAGGTGGGTGGATCATGAGTTCAAGAGATTGAGACCATCCTGGTCAACATGGTGAAACCCGTCTCTACTAAAAATACAAAAAAAATTAGCTGGGCATGGTGGCACGTGCCTGTAGTCCCAGCTACTTGGGAGGCTGAGGCAGGAGAATTGCTTGAACCCAGGAGGTGGAGGTTGCAGTGAGCCAAGATTGCGCCATTGCACTCCAGCCTGGGTAACAAGAGTGAAACTCTGTCTCAAAAAAAAAAAAAAGAAGCTTAATGGTTCAAGTTGTTTTTCTGGGGTGGAGCCTGAGAGAGAGAGAGAGGAAAGATGGAAGTGCTGGCATGTTGCCCATCTCTGCAGAGAATCAGGGTAACTGAACCAAGCCCCACAGCTGAAGGAGTGGGGTTGATGAGAGGCTACATGAGACTCCAGACATCTCAGGCCCAGGGCAGAAAATGCAGCAGAGAGGAGGCAGTGGTGTGGAAATGTTCAGGAGCAGACTGGTGCAGAGGGGTTGTTGATAGGTAGCAACGGTCTGTTTCCATGGTGTACCTACTCCCAACATAGCCAAGCTATCCACATGATGCCATTAACCTCGGAGATGGATGAGATGCACACAATGGACTCTAAAAAGCCAGTAGTGAGGTAGGAGGCAGGACTCAACTCAGGAAGTAGGGCTTGGATACTGGACCAAATTGAGGACCGGCTAAAACAGGGATGGGGCGGAAGCAGCTTTCCACAAAACGTACCCACAATATGCCATGTCAGTTTTCTGTTGCCATGGCAACACTTGGAAATTACTGCCCCTTTCTGTGGTGATGACCTGATGACCCAGAAGTTACCAGCGCTTCCCTGGAAATGTCTGTGTAATCCACCTCTTCATCTGAGTGTAATTAAAAGTGGGTATACATATGAGTGCAGCACCACCTCTGAGCTGCTACTCCGGGCACACTGCCTATGGGGTAACCCTGCTCTACAAGGGGCAGTATCTCTGTTATAGCTGTGTACCATGGCTTCAATAAAATTGCAGTCTAACACCACTGGCTGGCTCCTGAATTCTTTCCTGGGCAAAGCCAAGGACCCTCCCAGGATAAGCCCCCATTTGGGGGCTTACCTGCCCTGCATCTGTAGAAACCATCTCCAGCCCACCACCAGGAGGAACCATGTCTCCCCTACTATACCACAATAATTCAGAATGGCTTCAGCATCCCACAGATTCAAGAGGGTTCCAAGAACAGCTGAGCTCAGCAGAGTACAAGGAAAAACTGCAGAGCCCTCTGGGAGCAGACTCGCATGAAAGACACCAGCAGCAGGGTCGGGAGTGGCCCCTCTCCTGGGTAACCTGTGCACAGCAGACTGCAGACAGGGAAGGGGAGATGGCATAAAACACACAATGCATCCTTCGGCACAGGACCTGGTTAGAAATGGGGGCTGACTAGATATTGCAGAGTTGGTATTTCATGGATTGGGGAGAGAAGGTAGTGTGGTTTCAGCACTCTGTGAATCCATCTTCATCTTCACTGACAGGCTACTGAGACCTAGGCCATTTCAGATACACAGGACAGACAGTACTAATGGTTGGAAGAGATTTTCCCAGGCTAGATGAATCTAGTATCTACCCGATACTTGGGGGGAAAACAAAAACCAAAAAGAATAGTGCACAAAGCATATTGCTGGAATTTGAGTGAAAATATCCAATTCTGGCCTCAGTCCCATCACTTCACATCTCAAATTTAGTTTCTTCAACTGTCAAATAGGAATGAAACTCCCTGCCTTTCACAGGTTTCCTGGAAGAGTCCATGAGCTAGAACGTGTGACTGTGCCTTTCCTCCAGGAGCAATCTCACCATCACCCGGAGGACGCGGGTTGAATCTGATTTGGAACCAGAACAAATGATTGCCTCTCATCTGGACTAAAGACTGGCCTAGGATGGCTCTCCTGACCTCACAGCCAAGTTGGAGGGAAAACAGGATTTGACTTATCCACCTTCCCCCTGACTGGCCCAAACCCAACCAAAAGCCTCCTTTTGAGAGCATTCCATCATTAGCCAGTCAGCTTCGCTGATTCGTCGCCAACTGCTGTTTACCATGTTGGTTCCAAATGCCAGGCAGCACTGCACAGAGGACATGGGCAGAACTTCAACAGGCAAAGACCCATCAGGCAGACAAACGTGTTTGGAAGACTCTCCAGCATGGCAGGTGGAGCCCCGCTCCCTGGGAAGCAAGCTCCACACCTGGCACAGGAAATCAAGCCTATCTATTCAGCCTGTAGCAAAGCCAGCCCCAGGCAAGTCTGAAAAATAGCAGTGCACTCCCAAGGAGCCTTTCTTCTCAGTGTCTAATGCTTCTCTCATGATATCACCCCATCCTCCACCTCGCCAAGCAAAAGTGGACATAGCAATGGAGCAGAGGAGGTTTGATAAGAATAAATATAAGACTTGGTATCCTGTATCACGTGCATCATTCATTTGTTCATTACTAAGGGAGCATTTGGTGAATGTCCGGGTTCCAAGCACAGGGACAGAAACAGTGGACACAGGCACCAAGCTGGGAACAGGGACACAGGACATATGAGGCAAGGTCTCTGTCATTCGGTAGCTCGATTTGGGAGGAGTAGGGGGACAAGAAGACAGAATTCCTTTTTAGAGACAGTCTTACTCTGTCCCTCAGACTGCAGTGCAGGGGCACAATCAGGACTCACTGAAGCCTCAACCTCCTGCACTCTAGCAATCCTCCCACCTCAGCCCCCCAAGTAGCCGGGACTATGGCTGTGCACCATCACACCTAGCTTATTTTTGTTTGTTTCTGTAGGGATGAAGTCTTGCCATTCTCCCCAGGTTGGTTTCAAACTCTTGAGCTCAAGCGGTCCACCTGCATTGGTCTCTTAAAGTGCTGGCATTACAAGACAGACTTTTAAATACAACAAAGCAATAATATATTACAGATGCTAATACATTGTCTAGACGGAGCCTCATGAGGACCCAGAAGG